TTCCCTTCTCGGATCTTTGACGGAGTTGAAGATTATATAATTGTAATTACTCTCTACATTATTTAGACTCCTTGAGATAGAATGTCTGGTAAAACTTTTGTTCTCAATATTGTTTGTTATATCTATTATTTATTATTATTGTTTATAGTTGTATTTAGGTTAGTTCTGTCTTATTTAGACAAAAGGAGGGAGATGTAGGGATAAGCCCTCCCCTTGGGGGCGGGCTGCCCTCGGGCGTATGTTTACTGATATATTGGGCGGGCAGAGGCTGCGTGCCCCTTCCCTTCCTCTCCTGTCTCCGCCGGCTACTCCGCTGGAACCTTGGTTTCGTGAGTCTGGTTTTGTTATTAAACTTGTTCAAATACCTATTACTTTTGGTGATTATTAATCCGACCGCTGCAAGAGAGAAAGAGCTAAAGTGGAAGAACATAAGCACTGGAACCTCAAGGCCACCCCAGCCCCATCTTCTAATCTTCCCAACAATTCCACCAAGCGGAAATCAGTCATTCAAATATAGGATCATATGGGGACCATTCTTATTCAAACTACAATAGAAGTCACAGCTGGGGAGGGTTATGGACTGCTTCTCTTACTTGGCAACTTGCACTATATCTATTACCATGCCAGTTCGATTAAATGAAGGTGGTTTTGTCGTTAGATCCAGCTCAAATCCTTCGAAGTCCTGCATCCAAATTGTGCAGCAAAACCGACTTACCTTCAAGCTTGCAGAGATGACCAAAGGAAAGAGAAAGCCCCTAAATTACTTTGGGAATCACACAGACTATCCTAAACAAATCAAACAAAGGTTTCTCATACTGGTGTTTTTATTAGTGCAGGATTCTTGGGAGGAGGCACTACAAAGTCAAATGATACGTCATTTAATATACACATGTACGTATATCCATGTGCGATACATAATCTCAGTTGCACTATTATGTATTGTATATAACTTTAGGTATGTGCAAAATAACAACTCTTAAGCATTATCAAACATTGGTATTTGTTCCTCTTTCCTGTATTCATCTTTCCCACCCTGTGCCCGACTAGAAATTTCTGCCTCCAGTCTTCCCATTTTTCTCATCACAGCCCTCACATCCAGCTAGTGCCCTCCCCAGCCTCCTCTCTAATCACCAATGGAACACCATTCAGCTATAAAGAAATCTTAAATCAGAAAATGGTTTGACATATAGAATCAAGAAATATAGAAAACAAGTCCATTAACCCATATTCAGAAAGATAAATCTCTCTTCTCTTTCATTTGTGGTTTCTGGCTCTAAATCCTCAGACATGAAAAGATAACCTGGACTAAAAGAAACCACATCTTGCCTTAATAAAAATGTAATGAAAGCAAAACTCCTGTGAAAGAATGGGCCAATAACAAAAATGCTCAGAATTTGACTATACTTTCCTCAAACTGTTCATTTCTAAAATATTCTGGAGTAACTTCCAGAAAGTATTATATCTTACATGAGATTCAAATACATGAAAACAATTTTTTTAATCATATTCAAAATGACATGTAGTTTTTTTTTTTTTAAAAACAGTTTTGCAATGAAAATTCCCTTGACTGGATTTGGATGGATCTTCTTAAGGTCCAAAGAAGGTTGTGTTTTCTATAGCTGTGATGGATCACAACTGCTAAAACAAGTTTTAAAAGCAAGTGTTATATTTGGCTTGCAGTTACAGAGTGTATCTGTGATAGCAAAGAATGGCCATGCTATCCCATAATAAGGAGGCAGAGAGAATACACTGGGAGTGTCAATATCTTTTGTATCACCTTAAAACTTCCGTAGAGTGACAGATGTTCTCCAACAGGTCATACCTCCTACCTATTCTCAGTTAGTACCCACTTCAGTTAGAAACCCAGTATTCAAACTTATGAGCCTCTGGGCCCATTCTCACTCAGAACACTAGTATAGTTGTATCCAAAGGTACTGTCCTAGCCATAGGGGGCAAAACAGACATTATTCCACATCCTGTAAGTGGTTTTTATCATATATAGAGTCACATATCATGAGTTAGGTATTACACTTTTTCTGGGTGGTGGTGGCACAAGTCTTTAATCCCAGCACTTGGGAGGCGGAAGCAGGCGAATCTCTGAGTTTGAGGCCAGCCTGGTCTACAGAGCTAGTTCCAGGACAGCTAGAGCCGTTTTACACACTCTTACACACACACACAAAAACCTGTCTCAAAAATCAAAACAGAACAACAAAAAAGGTTTCTACATTTAAAAATGTATCTATTAGTTTTTGTTTCCACTGCTTTGAACATTTTATTCACTTCATTACTCACTTGTATGTCTCTGTGTATGTATTTATTGGGATTTATCTGTGATTGTCAGAATACAACTTTCAAGACTCGGGTTTTTATTTACACTTTCTCTCCACTGTGACTCCTTTCATGAATGTTAAGATAACTGGATCGGGCAAAAGTTTTTCCATAATGCTTACATGTGAATTCTTTTATGATTATGACAGGAACTCAAAATGGCAAAGGTTTTGCCACAAGAATACACTCACAAGGTTTCTCACCAGTATGAACTCTTTCATGAATGGTATGTAGAACTAGTCAAGCCATTTCCACAATGATTCCGTACTTAAAGCTTTTCAGAGTGAATTCTTTCATGTCTCTTTTGACCAGAAGAACTCCTGAAGGCTTTCCCACAATGCTGACATGCATAAGGCTTCTTTCCAGTGTGAATTCTTTCATGAAGGTCACGATAACACGAGGTGGAGAAGCTTTTCTCGCAATGCTTACATGCATAAGGCTTATCTCCAGTATGAATGATTTCATGTCTCTTAAGATAAATGGAGCGGGTAAAGGCTTTTCCACAGTGCTCACACGAGTAAGGCTTCTCTCCAGTGTGAATCCTTTCATGAATGTTACGATAATAAGAAGTGCTGAAGACTTGCCCACAATGTTTACATGCATAAATATTCTCTCCCGTGTGAGTTCTTTCATGAATTTTACAGTGCTCGGAACTGTTGAAAGCCTTTCCACAATGTTTACAGGCATAAGAAGTCTTTACATTATGATTTTGTTCGTGGCAGTTATGCAGACCGGGAATGGTGAAAGTTTTTCCACAGTGCTTACATGCACAAGGCTTCTCTCCAGTGTGAACTCTTTCATGCGTGTCATAAGAACTCAAAGTGGCAAAGGTTTTGTCACAATGTTTACATGTATACAATTTCTCTCCAGTGTGGATTCTTTCATGAGTGTTACAAGAATTGGAACTGGTGAAGGTTTTTTCACAATGCTTATGTGCATAAGGTTTCTCAGCACAGTGACTTCTTTCGTGAATGTTACAATTACTAGAATGGGTGAAAGCTTTTCCACAATGCTTACATTCATGAGGCTTTACTTCTCTGTGAGTTACTTCCTGTTTCTCAAAACATGTTTTCTCATGTTGCTTACAAATGTAACTTCTCTCTCCAAGATGACTTTTTTCATGGCTGCCGAGGTCGCTGGACTCAATGAAAGCTTCTTCACAATGCTCACACACAAAGGGTTTCACTCCTGTGTGGATCCCGTGATCCTTCTGGTCACATGCACATCTCTTTAAGATGTTTTCACTGAGTTTATTATCTCCAGTGTGAGTTCTCTCCTGAGGCTGATCAGAAGGAAGACTCCTACAGGCTTCATTACATTGTTGGTTTTTATAAGGTTTGTCTCTAGGAGAGGTTTCAAGTACCTGCAGTGATTCAGAATGACTGATATCTTCCCAATGTTTCGTTGGTTTAAAAGACTGAAGCTGTGAAGACACCACAGCTTCCTGACATTGAAATTCACTGCTTCTACTTTGGTCTCTTTGATAAACTTGTAAGGATGAATCATCAATGACATTCCTTTCAAGTAATCTGCTTTCATATACTGTTTTTGCAGGAGGCGCGTCATGATTAACCATATTCTCTGGAGTAGATTCCTGGTTTTCATCACACTCAGTATCACGCTGATATCCACAGTCTTTCTCAACCACTTGAATTCTGCAAAAACAATGCGAACAACATTACTGTAGAAAAAAATGTTTGAGGCTGGCTTATGGAGTGCACTACAACCATACTATCCCTGAGGCAATAGCAGAATGTCTCCAATGTTAAGGACAATATGAACCACATGTAAAGACCCTGGCATGTGTAAAGAAGTAGAGTGTTGATATTTATTTAAGAATTATGAAGGAGCTGTATCATAGGGTCAGATATAAAGAATAATTCCAGCTCTTCTAGCAGATCCTCCATCGGCAATCATGTGGAGGGCACATAAGTTCCTGTTGATCTGAAGGATCTGATGCCCTTTTCTGGTCTCCATAAATGGTTTTGCACAGGTGGTGAATACAAGCACACATATACATACACATAAAATAAGTGACAAACATAGAAAGAGTGAATATGAAGGCAAAAGTCCTGGTGTTAGCAGACAGTCATAATAATCACACAGTCCTCTAACAGTATGATATTTTGACATTTGAAATACTTAGCCTGTGTTGGCTAGTTTGTTATCAGTTCAACCTGAACCAGAGTTGAGAACATGGCTAGATCAGATTGGCTTGTAAGCAAGGCTGTGGGGAGCATGTTTTAATTCCTGATTAATGAGGCCATGTTAGGTAATATGTTCCTAGGCAGTACAGGAGCTGTAAGAAAAGTATGTTAGTAATCCATGAGGAACAAGCCAGAAAGCAGCATTCCTCCACGGTCTTCAGTTCAGTTCCAGCCTCTAGGTCCCTGTCTGTTTTAAGCCCCTATCCTGCCTTCCCTTGCTGGGCTATAACATGGATGTGTAAACCAAAATATGCCCCATTTCCCCCAAGATGACTTTGGTCACGGTGTTTAACACAGGAACTGAGAGCATCATAAAACAGAAGTTGCTTACCAGGTTCACGGGGGTAATCCTGAGAGAGAGGTGACCATGTGGTTTTTATAAGGGCTATGAGAAGGTCTAGACTACTGGGCTCTTTCAGAGCTTATTACATGACACATTGGTGATATTACTCGATTACACAGATGAGAAACTCAAATACTGAATGACGCAGTTCAATATTCTGTTACAGAAATTGGTGTAGAATCAATTTGCAATTAGATATATTTGGATCATTTGGTAGGCTCGCAGTTAGTTGTCCTACCACTCAAATGTTTGATATAAATTGTTTTTGTTTGTTTGTTTGTTTTTGTAGATAGGGTTTCTCTGTATAGCCCTGATTACCCTGGAACTCACTCTGTAGACCAGACTAGACTCAAGCTCAGAGATTTGCCTGCCTCTGCCTCCTGAGTGCTGGGATTAAACATGTGTGCCACCACCACCTGACTGTAAATTGCTTTCTATTGAATAAAAATTACCCCAGATTTCGGCTGAGATCTCTGTGGTCCTCTTCAATATTTTCTTCTAGTGTTCCCTCTAGAAATAAACCCAAAGAGTTCATTATGACAAATTCAATGCTTAGAAACAAGTAGAATCTAGTTCTTATGACATGGATGCATTCCCTGCAGGAATTCAAACCACAACACCACACATAACCAGGACACAGTTGCTCTCTGACTGCTGACTGAATAAGCAATGGCAGTGTGCTGGTGTTTATTTTTTATTCATTTATTTATTTTTACCTATGGAGATCAGGTTCAAAAATGTTTCCTTCATCACATCTCTGTAGAGCTTCTTTTGACCAGAATCCAACACAGCCCACTCTTCTACAGTGAAGATCACACCTACATCCGCAAAGGCCACCGGTTCCTAAAACAGTGCACATATTAGGATGGTTAGTTTTAACAGCCAGGTTGATGACATACAGAATCGTCTAGGACAGAAATTACTGAAGACAGCTCTATAAGTGATTATGTAGATAAAGGTTAACCCAAAACATCCATAGGATACTGTCTTGAGTTTTTGCTGTAAGAAAGGCAGATGCACAGTCTCAGTTACTATTCTGCTGCTGAGACGAGAGCTCATGATCAAGGCAGCTACTATAAAAGGAAGTAACTGATCAGGGCTTGCTCACACGGGTCAATGATTGTCACAGAAGAATCAGGACAGGCATGGAGCGGGAACAGTAGCTGAATGTTTTACTCCTGAGGAAAGGCAGCAGACAAAGAGACAGACACAGTGCCTGGAATGGGCGTTTGAAACTCAAAGACCACTACTAATGACATCCCCTCCCACATATTGCCACATCTCCTAATTCTATCCTAATTCTAACTTCTACTAACTGGGGATGAAGCTTTCAAACATATGAGCCTATGAGGGCTATTCACATTTAAAACAACACACCTACCTATTCGAGATGCAGCATTTCGTGAAATATAAAGGGTTTATTTATATTAGCAGAAGGTGGGAGCCGAGACACAGGCACCTATACACCAATCTAGTTCTGATTGTGTGTGATTTGATCAGCTGCTTCAGAATCCTGCATTTTACAGACTATACCCTTAAATTGTGAGATAAAATAAACCCAAGTGACTCAAATCACTGTTTTCTGAGTCATTTCTGACAGACAGATGGAAAAGCCTAACATAACAAATACATTTTTTTTTCGAGACAGGGTTTCTCTGTAGCTTTTGGTTCCTGTCCCGGAACTAGCTCTTGTAGACCAGGCTTGCCTCGAACTCACGGAGATCTGCCTGCCTCTGCCTCCCGAGTGCTGGGATTAAAGGTGTGCGCCACCACCGCCCGGCCTAACAAATACATTTTTTAAAAAGTGGGACCATTGTTGTAAATAAACCTAAGCAGGTTCTCTGTGGGCATTTAGAACTTGTTTTGGAAGGAATGTGGGGGAACTGACAAAAAAATTTTCTTTAGAGAAGGAAAAATCTAGAACACATTGAATACTTTCGTAGAAGAAACAAGGGTGTACAAACTAAAATTCCAAACAAGCAAAGCAAATGCAACTGATGACACTGATAACCACTGAACAATAGCGAAGCAGGCAAGCACAGAGCAAACACAGGGACTGGGGCTCTACCTGGCTTGGGTTTGCACAACGTCCATTGTACAGAGAACTGAACAATGAACCTAGCATTGTGCGGGTATCCTTTGGACAAACATCTTTAATGGGCTGTACCGGTATCTGCTTTAAAAATAGCAACAAGCAGTCCCTTTAGTAATGGCATGGTAACTCCTTACTGCACTCAAATACCTTTTGGGAATCATATGGAACATAGGGGAAATAGGCAGACCTGCACTTACTTCAGTCTGAGGTACATGCGCAATAAGGTAACCTGTAGTCTGAAAAGGAATGTTCAAGAATAATCTTTCTTTTTCTGTTGTTACAATATTTTTTCTTCTAAACAACTGGGCCTGCATATGTTCAGAGTCTGATGACTCTGGGAATGTCATGTGCACTAGCAAGGTTTGCCAAATGACATCCTGTCAGTCCAAACACTAATCCTCTGCGGATGCTGCATCCTCCAGCAACCAATTCCTCTTTCTTTCAGTCTCACAGCTAGCGGTCGATACCCGTGAGCACCCTCACTCGTGTAGGCTGTTAGCATCTTTCACTGTAGATTGATTCCTATAGTGTGCCTTTGCTTTGAATGAACTGGACCCTGCCCAGATCCCAAAAACCGACTAATTTAGCTCCTGGCAAATGGGTACATAGAGGGAAGTAAATCAATTCTCTCATGACTAAACACTTCCCGCTCACTTTCTATACCTTTTTCATTGTGATATCTATTGCTGCAATGTCTAACTAATCAGTTTTGTCAATAAGAATCATCAACCTAAATAAATCGTCGACCATGTTCTACAATAAAGGATAGATCATTTCTGACATGTTTTCCCTCCAGGAACAGATGAGAAATTGTATAGATTGCTTTTATCTCAACTTGACACAAGGTAGAGTCATCAGAAGGAGATCCAGCTGCAAGGCATTTTCTTAATTAGGGACCAGTGGCAGAGGGCAAAGCCCACTGTGGATGGTGCCTTCGCTAAGCGGAGAGTCCTGGGCTCTATAATTTATTTATTTTCATTTCATGTGCATTGGTGTTTTGCCTGCATGGATGTCTGTGTAAGTGTGGGAGAGATCCTAGAACTGGAGTGACAGACAGTTGTGAGCTGCCAGGTAGGTGCTGGGAATTGTACCTGGGTCCTCTGGAAGAGATGTCAGTGCTCTTAACTGCTGAGCCATCTCTCCAGCCTCCGTCCTGGGTTAGAGTGGTATATCATTTGTGTTATAATAAATAAAGCTTGCCTGAAGATCAGAGCATAAAACAGTCACACTGGTCAGTCGTACAGATCAGGCAGTGGTGGCACATACCTTTAATCCCAGTAACCACACTAGTTAACCATAGAGGCCAGGCAGAGGTGGTGCATGCCTTTAATTCCAACACTAGAGAGGAATAGAAGATGGAAGGAAACAGGCCCCAGTTCAGGCTCATTGTGAAGATTTGTGGAGGCAGGACTGCCATTTGGGTCTGAGGAAGAGGTAAGAGGCAGTGGCTGGCTGCTTTGCTTTTCTGGCTTTCAGATTGAACCCCAATATCTGTCCCTGGGTTTTTATTATTCATGCTACACTGGGTTCTTTAAGAAAGCAGTCTGAGAAAGTCATGAGAAGAAGCACCCCTCCATGGCCTCTGCATCAGCTCCTGGCTCCAGGTTCCTGCCCTACTTGAGTTCCTGTGTTGCTTTGGTGACAAACAGCAACGTGGAAGTGTAAGCTGAATAAACCCTTTCCTCCCCAACCTGACTTTTGGCCATGGTGTTTCACCACAGTAATAGAAATCCTAATTAAGATAGAAATCAATAGGAAAAAATGAAAATTTGATCAAGAGATGATTCTGCCATATTGCAAACGATGTAAGAGTCCTCAGTTTGAATTTAGGACAATTTCTCTGACCCAAATCTCCAGCTTGAGATTTAAGGGAAGAATTATATTTCCTTTTTCTTGCTCATTCTTCTTCCCTGTGTTTAATTTAGAAGATCAACCTAAACAAGTGATTTCTTACTGACTTACAACTACATCAGTTACAGAAATATTAAGTATGTTAAATATGAACAGTTTCGTTTTAAAGTAGGTCTCTGGCCAAAGACATAAGGGAAAAGAATATGCTTGCTGAGAAGGCGCACAATATCAGAAAAATGAATGCTTCAAATTCTTAAAGTCACCAAAGCACTTTCAATATTGTCCGTCAAAAATTTTGGCATAGGGCTGGAGAGATGGCTCAGGGGTTGGGAGCATTGCCTGCTCTTCCAAGGGTCCTGAGTTCGAGTCCCAGCAACCACATGGTGGCTCACAACCATCTGTAATGGGGTCTGGTGCCCTCTTCTGGCCTGCGGGCATACACACAGACAGAACATTGTGTATAAAATAAATAAATAAATATTTAAAAAATTTTTTTGGCATAATGGGCTTGGTCCTTAAGAAGGTCACACACAGGCAAAAGAGGATTTGAAACGATTGGTATTCTGGAGATGGAGAGTCTTTGCTCTCTGTGAGTGTGGCCACTGGAAAGTTGTCATGCTACAATGCACGGCCACACACACCTGCACAGGCTCGCTCAACTCAGTGGGTTATAAAAACTAAAAGGAAACCAAAAGATACAAAATTAAGAGCTGGGTGTGCTGATGGTGTAAGGGCTAGACACGATTACATCACTTTTATGTAGGAAATTCCCAACCAAAAACATATATTTAAAATGGTTGTTATCTTTTAATAATAAAACAGTGAAACAGATGTAGGGCTAGGATACAGGTAACCAGGTGTAAAGCTTGCTGTGCAAGCCTGAAGACCTCAAACCCCATGGAGGATGAGGGGAACAGTGACTCCTTACTCACCGTGGGTGGGAGTTTAAACTGCTGCAATTAACAAGCCATCAGTGTGAGCTTCTCTCCAAAGGGAAAAATAGAAATACTATTTCATCCAGCGGACATCTCTCCTCGTATAATAAAAACAATCCATACACTACAACAGATACTCGCATTCATGGTCATGGCTGCTCTAGTCCCAAATAGCAGCCTGGACGTCCATCAGCTGATGTCTGGATAACAGACATATCACACACATGCACGCTGGAATAAGACTCCGTAATGACCAAACTGAAGTGCTGGACGGAACTGGAAATTTAACTATCCAGGGCCGGGTAACCGAAAGGAACAGAGTCAAACAAATGCTGTCTCTTTACCTCATATATGGGTTCTATCTTTAACCTCTTCCCGTAATGATTCAGAACTGGACTGAGTGTCTACACAGAGCATGGAGAAGGCAGGCTCCATGGGATCTGTGTGTAGGTGGGACTGGGACGGGAACGGTAGTAGGCATGTGATGTGGTGGACACGGTGTGGCTATGGGAAAGGGAAGGGAGGAGGAGTTTACTGTATGAAGGTTCAGGATTCTCGGCTATGCAGTGCTTTCCAGGCCAGCCCGCTGGCACACAAGGGGCGGAGCAAGCCTTTAATCCCAGAATGCATGAGGAAGGCCAGGGAGAAGTCCAAGTCTAAAGCTAGTCTGGTCAACACAGCTAGTTTCAGGGCTGCACTGAGAAACCCTGTTGCCAAAAGCAAAACAAAACAGCCAGCACTCGGGAGGCAGGCGGATCTCTGGGAGTTCGAGGCCAGCCTGGTCTACAGAGCTAGTTCCGGGACAGGCTCAAAAGCCACAGTGAAACCCTGTCTCGAAAAACAAACAAACAAACAAACAAGCTAAGAAAATACAAACAAACAAAGGAAGGAAATGAATTAAGCTTTTCAAGACCTGAAAACGGAAATAAAATTAAAAAAACAACTCAGGAAATTCTGTAAACGAAAAATTTAGGAATTTGAACAGCAACTACAGAGGCAAGCTTCACCAACAGAAGGCAATGTTGATAGCGAATTTCAGGTGTTGAAGAGACAATAGAAGAAACGGATATATCCATCAAGGAAAACGTTAAATCTCAAAAACTCCTAACACAAAACATCCAAAAGATCTGGGACGCGATAAAATGATCAAACCTAAGAAAAATAAAAATAGAGGAAGAAGAATACCACTTCAAAGGTTCAGAAAGTATTCTCAACAAAATTATAGAAGAAAACTATCCTAACCTAAACAAGGGCATGGCTATAAAAGTACAAGAAGCATACAGAACACCAAGTAGCCGGGTGGTGGTGGTGCACGCCTTTAATCCCAGCACTTGGGAGGCAGAGGCAGGCGGATCTCTGTGAGTTCGAGGCAAGCCTGGTCTACAAGAGCTAGTTCCAGGACAGGAACCAAAAGCTACGGAGAAACCCTGTCTCAAAAAAAGAACACCAAGTACACTGAACTAGAAAAGAAAGACCCACTGGGCAGTGGTAGTGCACATGCCTTTAATCCCAACACTAGGGAGGCAGAGTTAGGCAGATCTCTGTGAATTTGTGATCTCTGGTCTACAAGAGCTAGTTCCAGGACAGGCTCCAAAGCTACAGAGAAACCCTCTTTCTAAAACACAAAACATACAGAACAAGAAAGAGTATTAAAAGATGTAAGGGAAAAAACCAAGTAACATATAAAGGCAGACCTATTAGTAAGACTGACTTCTCAATAGAAACTAAAAGTCAGAAGAGACTGGGCAGAGGTGCTGTAAACTCTACGTGATCACAGATGATGGTCTACATTATTATTTACCCAGCAAAACTTCCAAATACCATAAATCCATAAATGGATAAAACAGGATGTTCCTTGATAAAGTCAAATTTAAACAATGTTTACTCTAAATCTAAGTGTACAGAAAGTCTAAAAGTACAACTCTAACCTATATAGGTTAACTATACCCATGAAAAAACAGGAAATAAATAATCTGTGACCAGCAAAATCAAGAAGGGAAAGCACACACATGCACGCACACACATACAAACACACACCGTCACCACCACCAATCAACAAGACAGACAAACCATTATTCAAACTAATTAAAAGGCAGAGATAGAATATCCAAATTAACAAAAAAAAAAAGAAAGAAATGAAAAGGGGGCATAACAACATACACCAAAAAAAAAAAAAAAAATCCAGAGACTCATAAGGACATGTTTTAAAAACCTGTACTCCACCAAATTGGAAAATCTAACATACAGATAATGTTCTCAATAGGTACTACTTACCAAAGTTCAACCAAGATCAGGCAGACAATTTAAATATAATCCCTCATGAAAAAGGAGTAATTAAAAGTTTCTCAACACTTCTCTCCCCAAAAAAATCCAGGACCAAAAAGTGTTTCAGTTCAGAATTCTACCAGACATTCAAAGAAGAGTTAATGCCAATGCTCCTCATATTATTCCACAAAAGAGAAATAGAAGGAATATTGCCCACTTAATTTTATTATGCCACTGTTGCGCTGATATTCAAACCTCATATAGATCCAACAAAGAAAGAGAATTACAGACCAATTTAATTTCTTTTACAGGATGGATAGAAGCATTTCCAGTCTCCAGGGAAATAGCAGATGCGGTAGCTCAGGGTCATGGAGCTCATGTCAGAAGCTCTCAACATCTGGACAATGGGACTCATCAAACAACAATCTACCAAGCTCTCCACTGAATTCAGGTTCTCTTGGCCCTCGCCTCAGGGCTACCCCATGTTCCCCCACGGGCCTGAGCCTTTTTGAGTTGCTTTATGGCAGGCCCTTTCTCCTTAACCATCACCTCCCAGTTCAAACTCCTCCACTGGCGGGGTACCTACCCTACCTTTCCCTTTTAAGGTCCCTTCTCCATTCACACATGCCAAGTTGTCTTCCTGCCACCACACCAGTGGACCCTAATACCCCTAAACCTGCCCCGCTCTCCCCAGGGGACAGAGTACTCCTCACACAGTAAACTCCTAGCTCTTTCGAGCCTCGATGGACAGGACCTCATATAATCCTCAGCACCCCCTCGGCTGCCAAACTCTTGGGACACCCATGCTGGGACCATCTCTCAGCTCAAGCAGGCGTGGTCTGTCCAACAGACAGGACCTTCCACCCTCCAGATTTCCAGGATGCCTCAATACAGGGCCTACCTGCTCCTCATTCTGGCACACTCATCTTTAGCGATAACAATTTTTTTCCTAGACACCTGCCTTCTCTTCTCCCCCAAAGAATGATGCCTGCCTTCTCTGGGATGACAGTTCATGGGATGCCTTCCTTTCCAGCCACACCTCTCACTAAAAGTGGACCCCTGGCTCTCCCCTTCCCCACGCTGCCCCATGCCCGCAGAAAGTAGCCGGATTTGAGTCTATGCCCTTTTTTCCAAAGAGAGCCTAAGTGTTTGTCATAATTACCATTCCAATTTTCTGTCACCCCTATAGCCAAAGAGTCTGGAATGTTAGGTTGGGAGCCTAGGCCCCAGTCCCTCTGCATCTATCTCAGCCCCTAGGCCTGGTCTGGACTTCAAATCCCAGCAAGCCAAGTCCTGACCCCTCCCTGGGGGTGGGCTCAAGACCACTCCCCAGGGCACTTAAATGATCCCCCAAAAGAACACGTGGTCTCCCTTTCTTCCTCCCAGGGGTCGTGTTCCTGCGGCTTCCCGGTTTCTCCCTAGGGGCCACCTCAGAGCGCAAATCTTCCATTAAACCTGACTATTTCTTAATTTGGCTTGTTTTGATTTGGCTTGATTGGGATATTTGCGTCGTCAGGGAGCTAATATTAGGAAATATTCCTAACATTTATGACATATATCGTCATGTTTGGCTGCTATCTCTTAGAAGCCTGTTCTTTTCTAGTGAGAGACAGAAAGGGAGTGGACCTAGAGGGGAGGGGAAGGAGAAAGGAACGGGAAGGATAAGAGAGGGGAAACTATAATCAGGATATATCATATGAGAATGAAAACGTCTTCAATAAATGGAAATAATCCACTACAAACAAATAAAATGCGAAACTAATTGAAATTTCTCTTTTTAGGCAACTGCAGTCAGGGGAAGAAGAAAAAATTTCCTGAATAGTGTCATTTTGTAAAACTGAAGTAAAACCAACCAAGCAAACAACAAACGAAACCCAACAAAACAAAAGGAAAAATGCAATACCACCTTGGATGAGGTGTTAAGGGGCTGAGACAGCTCTGTGGGAAATTTCTCTCACACCAAGAGGTAAGGGAAACAATTCCGAGTCAGACCAGATGGGGTAGGGGAGTGAAGAAGCGTGAAATGAAATCCAAGGTAATAATGTAAAAAAAAAAAAAAAAAAAAAAAAAAAAAAACCAAAAAACAACAACAACCAAAACTAAACCAGCGCAAACCGAAAACTCCACAGATCACCCAAGTCCCCACACAGCACAGCCTGGATGATCAACAACCCGCCAGCGCTGCAAAATCCGTGTAGCACAGGTTCATGGCAAGGACCCACCCAAGAGTGCTGGGATTGTGATGAAGCGGCTTCACAGGACAAAGAAGAGGGGTGTTCGGGGCTCAAGACCGCCTGTGGGGTGCACACTTCAAGCACAGGTGGGCGCAGGCATTGCTGAGCCAGACTCCACCTTCCACTGGACTTCACAGCGCCAGAGGAAACCCCACGTGCTGGCGTCACATAACTCCAAAGCAACTAAAGTCCCACATCCGCCCCCCAGGATTCCAGGAGCCCAACGCACACTCACCATTGTGTGCTTCTGATGTATCTATGTGTCCTCCCAAAGAGGTCCGCAGAAAGCACAAGGGCCCCAAACAGGTACTCACAAGAATCCCCCGGTAACAAACGTTAAAAAGGCTTACGGCGCTGCAACCATCCGTACTCCTGATTGGACAGCTCAGCGTCTTTTAGTAATATGGTTCCTGATTGGCGAACTGTACTCAGCCCGCGAAAAGTATCAAAACATTTTAGGAAAGCTCAGGTGCAAGTCCTGACTTCCTGCTCTCTAGAAGAAGGCGAGCTTCTGTGAACTCAAAACCATTCAGCGCTACATGGTGAGACCCCTGATCAAAAGCGAAACAAAGAAGCCCGGCATGGTGCAGGCATTTCTAATCGGGAATCTCTAAGTGGAGGCTAGCCTGGTCCAGAGAACTATTTCCCGGACAGACCATAGTACCAGAGAAAAGCTGTCTCGGAAAACCAAAACTTACAAGTAAGGAAGCAAAAATAAACAACAATAACAACAAATTTTAAAACAAAAGCTCTAGCACATTATCCGTCCCGTGTGGAATGAACCTGTTCCTTTCCGGGATTTCACTGCATTGTAAGACAACACACTCTGGGATTTGGGATGCACTCAACTCACTGCGTCACACACCCCGTATTTGCCACCTGCCCTTTCCATAGAGATAGTGCCTTAAGTTAGCTCAGTCCATTACTATCTCTTGCCCCACAGGAATAAAGGACCAAAGAGTAGAAGCAGGCCCCAAATAGGTTCAAACATAGGAAACACACCTAAGGCTCGATAAGAAACTTCAAAGATAAGGGCTGAGGTAAAATCCCATGACTTTCTCACACGTGGGTACAAGTTTCAAAGTATCCATTTCTGCCAATATACTAGATATGCCCTTGTCTTCGTAAGGGTTCTTATTGCTGTGATAAAACACCACAACCACAGTCAGTTTGGACAATAAAGGTGTTTTCCACTTTCACATCACACTCTATCACCATCAGAAGAAGTCAGAGCAGGAAATGAAGACGTGAAACTGGTGTTAGGAATGGAAGCAGAAGACGTGGACGAGTTAATTAGCGGCTTGTTCTCCATAGGTAGCTCAGTCTGTTGTTTTATGCCATGGAGGACCATCTGCCCAGGGGTACAAGTGTTCCTAATGAACTGGGCCCACCTGCATCAATCCTTAATCAAAACAATGATCACTGGGGTATTGTAGTTGGAATTTTCTTTGAGCTGCTAACCAGTTCCCAAGTAAAGACATGGAGACTTATTATTAATTATAAATGCTCAGACTTAGCTTAGGTTTGTCCCATGCACTCTTTCACTCTTTTAACTTAATTTAACTTTTTCCCTATTCATCTGTGGGGTTTTTTTGTTGTGGTTTTTGTTTGTTTGTTTGTTTGTTTTTTGAGACAGGGTTTCTCTGTAGCTTTGGTGCCTGTCCCGGAACTAGCTCTTGTAGATCAGGCCGGTCTCGAACTTCCAGAGATCCGCCTGCCTCTGCCTCCCGAGTGCTGGGATTAAAGGCGTGCGCCACCACCGCCCGGCTCATCTGTGTTTTACCTCGGTGCTTTTTACCTTTCTTTTATTCTGTAAGTCCTACTTTCCTGTGTTCTTTGTGTTTGACTGGCTGGCTCCTGGAATCTCCCTGGTGTCTCTTTTCTCTTTTCTTACAAGCCTAAATTCCTCCTTCTACTTACTCTCCCTGCCCGGAAGTCCTGCAACACATCTTTACATGGTTAAGCAAATATTGTCCAATACCTTATGGTAGTGCATGCCTTTAATCCGATGTTAGAGTTGGCAGTGGGAGGTGTTGTTCTTTAGGTTTTCAAGACCAGTGTGTTCTATATAGCAAGTTCCAGATCATCCAGAAATACCTAGGGTGAGATCCTTTCTTGAAAAATGAACTAAAGAAGAAAATTCACTATAGAGTTGCCTACAGGAAAATCTCATGGGAACATTTTCTCACTTGAGAAAACCTCTTCCCAAAGGACTAGCTGTGTTAATTTGACATGAAACTCACCTGAAACACCAATTGTTTATTGGTGTATTTGCTTTGAATACCTTTTTACATCCTTTTATATATGGCAGTATCTTTCTCTGATGGTGTTTCCTGATGACAACAGAAATATCTTATTTTCCCTGACATGCTATTTGGTGTCCCTTTGTTGGGAAACATTAAGCGTCATTAGTGGATAGGCGAATGCCTTTAATCCCAGGACTCAGGGGGAAGAAGCAGGTGAATCTCGGATTTCACTGATCTGCTTAACAAGTTGCAGGCGCCCGGGCGGTGGTGGCGCACACCTTTAATCCCAGCACTCGGGAGGCAGAGGCAGGCGGATCTTTGTGAGTTTGAGACCAGCCTGGTCTACAGAGCTAGTTCCAGGACAGGCTCCAAAGCCACAGAGAAACCCTGTCTCGAAAAACAAAAAA